CACTGATCTCATGTGATCTTGTGTTACTTTAGGCTTTCATTCTCTGCGAATGCACCAAAGGCGTGAAGCAGCCAAGAAAGCGAAGGATCTTGATCTTCGCAGGGTGAGTATTGAAGGCCTGGTGCCTAGGGAGACCCGGGGCGGGGGTGGGGAGGGAGGGAATAACCAGGGTGAATGTTGCAGAGCCACTGCGGTTGCTTGTAAGGCTGAACGACTGCCGTGGTGCTGCAATATTTGTAACTTCGGGACTTGCTCATAAGCACTAGGGGGCGCTCATCATGTAACTTTGAATGAGTATTAAGTGAACCCTCATAACTCGGGGATTACCTTATATATTTTATATATATTCATTAGACTTTGTCCTAATGCAATCAAGACCATTATTTTATATCTAACATATACACATAAAATGGAAGCTAGGAAATAATATAGTATAAAAGCTATAATACTTTAACCTTCAGGATCCAGTAAGATTGAAATGAGTAGAGCCATCTCCATTTGGCTGAGGGAAGCCACAAAGTAGACTCTGCATATTGCTTTGTTTACTTTGAATTTTTATTCCCAGTTTCATTTTTAATAACGAGACTTAGTACCATAATACGTGGGTTACTTGTCGCATTGAAGGTGTGAGTAAAAGCTAAAACTTCTCATCAGGAATTAAATGCAATTAGATACTCACTGTACACACATACAGAATCACAGAAAGGATATGACTAAACATTGAAGAGGCATTCTGGTAATTAACTAATTTAAAAGATAGCTGGTGATTAAGTGTGCTACTTATAGATAAAAACATGTAAATACAAGCATCTTTCCTCCTCTCTAACACAAAAACAATTAAATCAAAATAAAATTCAGTTCTAGGCTTTTGAGTAGAGTTGTATTAATACCATAAGAGCTTATGCACGTTGGCTTTATTATCATCCTTTTAGAGAACACAATGCCTTTATTCACACATATCCCTCTCTAGGTTCACTGGAATTTTTTTGCCGTAGTTGTTAAGCGAATCACTGTAGTTGTGAATCACGTGGTTATTAAGTGAACCCAGCTTCCCCCATTGACTCTGCTTGTGGGAAGCCAGCTGGGAAGATCACAAATGGCAATCACATGACCCAGAAAGCTGCAACCATCATAAATACTTGCCAGTTACCAAATTTTGATCACGTCACTGTGAGGATATGAGGACCGATCATAAGTAACTTTTTCAGTGCCACAGTAACTCTGAATAGTGATGAAACAAAGGATTGTCAAGGACTATCTGTAACTTTAATTGGATCATTATAAGACATTACTAGCAAAATTTAGTAAAGAATTGTATGATAGGTAAAATTATGTCCTTACTGAAAACTGAGTCCTTCTGGTTCAGTTAGTTTAAATCCTGGTAACCATGCAATCTTCATTTTTACACCATCTTAATTTTTTCATTGCAGATATTTCCCCACATCAGAAATGGTAGAGCCGTATCCTTGAATCAGACATCCTCCAAAGGGTGAGGATTGCAAATTTTACAATCCTCAATCATCTCATTAAAACCATAGTCCCAATATATTTAGAAATGTCATGTGTAGTTTTTGTAGAAAAAAAAATTCTCACCTTAATTTGGAAATGTCACTGAAGATCATTTCTCTCATTTCTTTCTCTTTTTTTACTTTCCCAATATTTGAAGGGGAAGCACATTCAAATGCTCTTTTATTGAAATTTAAGATTTTAAGGAAAAAAATTCTATTCCAGGATGCCCTGTAAGGGTAAAACAATTTTTACTATATTAAAATGTTTTGATTCTCAAAATACTGTACCAGATAGAACTAAACAAAGATGAAATTAAATCCAGAATAATTTCATTGAAAGCATTCAGCTGCCTTAGTTACTCCCTTTTCCCAGATATACAGCTGAAACCATCAGTGGAGAAAAATAGATTTTAAAAATTATCAAATATGGATTCTGGACCGATCAGAAGAACTCAGCAGAAATGAAGTTTGCTATAAAATAAATAATGCTAATAATATGAGTTTGAGCAAGCACTTCAAGCTGTCTGTCATTCAATGTACAATGCAACTAATCCTTACTTACTGACACAATTGAGATCAACAACTCATTGTGGTCATTAAACAGGACATGACTATAATTTGCAATTTCACTTCCACATTCTCCATTAGCTCTGCTTGTTGGAAATCAGTTGTGAAGTTCACAAATGGTGATCATGTGACTGCAGGATGCTGTGATGATCATAAATGTGCACTGGTTGTGAAGCACCTGAACAATGATTATAGGATAGCAGGATGCTGCAATGGTCATAAATGTGAGGATGGTTTCCAACTATTGTAACTTTGAACAGTCACTAAACAAGGCAGTTGGTAAACAAGGACTTACTTATATAAGGCTTATAGTATCAGCAGGAGTCTGCTATTTGATAGGAATCTCTTACTGCCATTTCCAACTCTATTTCTCTCCTACCTCATATTTTCATGCTTTTATGTTGTGTGTGTAGGTGCCTTCAAATTAGTTTTCACTGCTACTGACTGCCTGGACATGCTCCTCAAATTTTTGGCAACAAAAGTGGTTTTCTACTGTTGCTTTTCTTAGTGCTTAGAGCAGTGCTGGCTGGTTGAGGAATTATGGGAATTGGAGTCCACATGCCTTAAAGTTACAAAGTTTGAAAAGCACTGGCTTAGGAAGACAGGGACAAAGTCATCAACCTGGTTTTGTGTTTAAGGCAGAACTGGAACTCACAGTCTCCTGGTTTCTGCCTTGGTACTTTTAAAGATTACACCAAAATGTTTCTCAGTTTTTAATATACTCAACTATTTTTATAAACATCAGAAAATAGATAACATATATAAGGTTAAAGAAAGGAAAATCATCTTATTTCTAAAATCATTATTTTAAAATTGTTTTCAGTGTTATGGCGTGTATTATATTTATTTGTTGGCAAGAAATTTGTAAGAAGCAAATTCTTTTCCATCTCATTTCTTCCATCCCACTTACATATTTTCCCTGCCTTCTCAAGATGAGGTTCATTTTGTCTAGTCAACAGGATGCTAGAGAAACTTGATTGTTAAACAAAGCAAACAATAAGTGAAACCACAATTGTGTTTATGATCTTATTTCAGAACTTTCCTTTGCTCTACAGCAGCGGTTCTCAACCTATGGGTCGCGACCCCATTTGGGGTCGATCCACCATTTCACGGGGGTTACCAAGCAAGGCTGTCCGCCATTTTTTTCCCCCTTTTCTGGCTGGTGCCTTACCTCCCTTAGGCTGGGCCAGCTGGTGGCCCAGCCGGTGGTTGGCCTACTCCGTCTCTGCCGCTTGCCAGCTACGCCTCGGCTGGCGCAGGGGGCAGCACCATGCATGCGTGGTGCTCCCAGGCAGGGAAAGTCCTCAACTTACGACCGGTTGGGTAGTCCTTGACTTACGACCTGTTTAGTCCTCGACTTACGACTGGTTGGGAGTCACGGCATTAAAAAGGTTGAGAACCACTGCTCTACAGACCTGCAAAGGTCGTAAATGTGAGGACTGGTTGTAAAGTTGTTTTTTCATCACCACTGTTACTGCAAACAGTCATTAAATGAGATAGTTGCTAAATGAGGACAAGCTATATAATATCTTAACACAGTGAAAAGATTGTATTTTTATATTCACAAATAAATTTATTTCTGAACCCAAAGGACTGCGTTCAAACTTTCTTTCAAAGTTATCTCAGATGCTATCCTGTGCGTATTTATTGGAAGGAACATCTGTCAAGTTTATTAAGGTTTGTTCCAGATCAATTTTTCTTGTGCACATGCAAAATCTCTGTCCTTGCAAAACGCAGCCAAGTTGGATATTGGTTTCTATCTGAGAAGCAAGGAATTTTAAAAGCACATGATTTGAAAGGTAGGATTTATTTACATTCACAATCAAGCTGGGATTCTTACAAAAAAAAGAAATTAGAAATCTGTAACAGCCAAGTTTTTGTAACTGACATTCTTTGGTTCTTTGACAAAGGAAATCATATCAATGTACTTTTTCTAAAAATTCCATTTTGGATTTCTATAACAAAAAATATCCTGTTATCCTAGATAAAACCTGTTATTTGTTTAAATCAATCATATAGCTGCTCATCTCACATATGTGACTCTGGGTAGCTAAGAAAATTTTAAAACTACACCAAGCAAGAGAAAAACAATAATCAAGAACAGAATGAGCATAATATGGCAACCAAGAAGACCAGCAATCAACTCATCTACGTTTTAACTAACTTTCTTGCCCCACCCCCATGCTTTGGAAAAGTCAGATGTTAGGCTTTTTGGAAAAGCCAACAGTGTTTGGAGGCTTAACATGTCCCATCAGCTTAAGAACACTACCTGTGACCTCAGTAAGATGCCATTATCCAGAGGTCACCTATTTCAGAAAAGTGAATTCATAAGCTACTTAAGATTGATCCTTCTTTAACTGATTCCTCCTCACTCACTCCACCTCCTCCGTAGGATTTGGGGCAGTGCATCCGAGCAGCCCTTTTCTGCCTCAATGCACCTCAATGCACATGCATAGGAAGGATACCTAAACTTTGACCAAAACTTGTAAGAATTTCCTTCAGGCATACACAGTGGTTTTGCAGCCCTGATCTTAAAGCACGTGCGTTGTGCTACCATACCATGCAAGCTTAAAACGTGTGGCTTGGTTTTATAATGCGAATCCATCCAGTGTGGTTAGCCTGTGGTTTGGTATCTTAACACAAACCTCAGACAATTGAGTTAATCCTGTAAATCAAAGCCGAGAGGACCACAACACATCACCGCTAAAGCGCACGTTCTTCATTACTGTACTTGAGCCGAAAACGGGCTCAGAGGTCTGCCCGAGGGGATCTGATAGACCGTTTGTCTTCGCCGCTAGCAGATATATCCCTCCCTGCACTTTCAGCGTGCTCCGCTCTACCATGCGAGGGTGCGCGCGCAGGTCGGAGTTGCTGAGGCAGGAGGGAGGGAGCTGTAATTTAGGAGTCCCCCCCGGGCGTGAGGGCTTCCTTTCCTCAGCGGCTCATTTTCTTACCTTTAGCGGCTACGCCGGCTTTGGCCTTAAGGCGGCGCCATTATGAGCTCCCTTAGCGGAGGTAGGCTCCGTACGGTTTAAAAAGCAGGTAGGGAACAGGAAAGGCTATCGCGGGCTACGGGGAAGACGCTGCTCCGCGTCTTTTGATCTTTCTCGGGAGCGGAGGAAGCAACCCTGAAGGGACCAAGCTGCTGCTGAACTTGGAAGCCGGATGGTTTCTCCCGCTGGTCCCTCCAACGTGCAAGTATCGCCGCGGCGCTCACTAGCCGCAGCGGCTCCTTCTTGCCTCCTGAAAATACTTCGCGGCTAGCCGTGGGGCGCTCTTGGAGCCGGGAGGGAGCCAAGCGGCGCCGTCGAAAGCAGCCACCTCGCTGACGCAGCGGTGGGCTTTGGACTCTCCAGCCACAGCGGAGAGGCGGGGGGATCCTTTGATCATTCAGTGCTGGAGGAGTCCCCAGAGAGCCCTTCCCATGGAGGGGGGGAGAGTACGGCGAGCGAAGCAAGAGAGCCGGGAAAGCAGCGTCCATAGGTACGCCGCGTCCTCACCGAGCGCGCCTTTCCGCCCGGGATTGGGTTTCGAGGAAGGGGCGTGAGGGTCAACTGGTTTTTGCTTGGCGTGCACGGTGTGGCCCCGTCAGGTGTAATGAAGGAAGAAGGGCTTTGGGATGGGTTCTGGAACTCCTTTTCTTTCCAGCAAAGGCTAAACTTCTCCAATTTTCCTTTGTTGGAGCAGCTGACCTCTCGTTTAAGGACTGCGCGCCTACTTTTTAATGGGAACAAGTTTATCTGGGAGAGCAAGGTGTGTTTGGCTTTTATATTAGGTCAACCGAGGTTGTTTGTTTGCTTGACCGAATCCTGTTTTAAGGATTTTATTACTAGTGGCTGTATTTCCGCAACATGCTCAAGCGCAAATAGGCAACCATGTTTTAATACATTTTGTTGTTGTTGTATGAATACAAATTTCCTCAGGATAAAACTTTTTTAATCCTTGGGTAATCTAATACTAGCATTTCCTAGTTTATTTGAAAAGAAATAATGACAATATATCTTACCTTCCGTAGGAGAGTTAAATTTATAAAATGGTGAAATAAGTAAGATTTCCTTATTTGGAAAATACTTTATTTTATGTAGGCTCCAGGAAATTCTCTTTCTTTTGTTGGAGTTAGCATGAAAAGCTTTTAAAAAGCAGAATGAGATGATGAGTTATTTAGGTAGATCTCCTCTCAATCTACTGTTCACAGTTGTACTGAATGAATGTTGAACAATTTCATTTTATTATTTTAAGGGTTAATTGAAGGAAAGCTCTAGACTCAGACAAGAATATATTAAACACTATGCAGAAGATGATAGTTCCTGGAACTAAATATGAAAAGTCTAAATGCTGTAAATTACATAGATTTTCTGCAGGCGGAAAGACTTGTTTTCAGAATGACGCTCACAGAGGAATAGATGAGACATCAGGAATGATTAGTATTTCCTTGTTCACAACAAAATAATGTCCACTGTCCAACACTTAATAATTCCTCTGTTGCACATCGGAATGGGAGAAAGGGTCTGAATTCAGACAAAGGGAGTTAGTTTCTCTCATTTTGGAACGGCCCTTCAGGTTGCTAATATATGTTGGCATGTTTTTGTTATTCCATGCCAGCAAACCTGAAAGGCAAAACATGGAGAGTTGAAATGTTCACTTTAATGTTTTACTAATTTACTATTATATATAAATTATTTAATATAATTTGTAGAATGATGATACAGAAGGAATGTACAATAGAAAGCAAGTGGCTTAAAACAGTTTGAGAAGACATTGTTTTTACTGGGCCTTCTTAAACTTATTTTGTATTCCTCTTTGAGAAATTTTCTGCATGCTTCTTTACCCCTTTTCATTCAATCCTGCCCAGTTCTCAGAATTCACCTGGACAAAGTCCCTGCATTTCTTCGGCAAGTTTTCCAGGTTTGCCCTCATTTGCTTTCTAGAGCTGAGTGAGAACAACTGGCCCAAGATTATTCAGTTGCCCAATGTGGGACTAGAACTCACATTCTTCCCTTTCTAGCCTGATGGCCTTACCTACTGTACCAAACTGGCTGTCTATCATATATATATGTGTGTGTGTGTGTGTGTGTGTGTGTGTGTGTGAGAGAGAGAGAGATATTTTTCCTTAGAAATGTGGTATGTTACAATTTTTTATTTCTGGTTGGACAGGCATGGATTCAAGTAACTAAAAATAAAGGAACAGAAAATACTTTTGATTGATATGCGCTTTTTTTTTTGCACGGCCAGAGAAGCAATAGTGTAAACAAATTGTTTATGTAGCAATGAAATTCTAATAACTGGTTTGGGGGCTTACCTGATACATTATTTCAGGAATCACACATTTTTTTACTTAAAAAAAAATCATTATTGTATCACTACTACTAGTAGCAATCCTCACTGAAAAATTTATATAATTATCCTTTATACCAAATTCTAGTGTAATAGGAAAAATTAATCCAAGGTTAAAATGAGAAAGAATTACCCTTGACATACATTAAAGGTACCCTTAATAGCCTTGCTGCATAATAATGCATCAAACGTTTTTTAAATAATATCAATATATCTCAGTAAATCTACCTTTATACAGGTATCCTTGAATTAAGGGAAGTCCTTGTATAACCATAATGGAGCTCAGAATTTCTGTTGTAAGTCGAGAAACCCACATGACCAATCTGATTTTACAATTTTTTTGTGCCAGTTGTTAAGCAAACACCGTGGTGATTAGGTGAGTCAATACACTTCTTTTGATGTTTTTTGCCAGAAACTAGCCAAATAGCCTGTTTCTGGCAAAAAAAAAAACAAACCCAAACATAAAGTGTCATATAACCACAGAATGTTGCAAAATTAGATCTGAATTTAAAATGTCTTATTTAAATATATTTTATGACATGGCTAGTTTCTTTCCCTATTCTGTTTCAATGCTGCTACTTTCAAAAATGCCCTTATGGTTTACACAATGTGGAAACTATAACATGAGCTTTTATTTAGAATTTATTTCAATTGCGTGAAATGCATGAAGGAATATTTAGTAACCAGGATAAGTTTTTATGCTACAGGTAGCCCTTGTTATAACAATGCTAATCATGTGACTGTGCTGCTGTTCTGGAAGTCCAGGTTACTGTTGTTAAGAGAGGACTTCACAGGTTGTTAAGTGAGGATCTCACATGACCGTGTCGTCTGACTTCCTGCCAGCTTCCCCATTGACCTTGCTTGTGGGAAGTCAGCATGGAAGGCTGCAGATTGCAGTCACATGACCATGGGGCTATAAGTATGAGATCCGGTCATAAATAACACTCACTCAGCACTATTGCAAGTTCAAATAGTGAACAAATGGTCGTTAAACGAAGACATCTGTAATATGCTCATGTTCTTTGAAAGAAGCAATTTATTGAATTGTATCTCCTGGAAATCTTACAGGTGCACTGGATTGACAGTGCAGCATTTATGGGTGCCAAGTTGTCTTTAGGATTCCCAGATGGTATGCATAGAACCTCAACATTCAACTTTTAAAAAAAATTGAAATATTCAAAATGTGATTAAACATTAATCGTCTCATGATACCTTGCAAACTGTTGACATTCTCATATAAGACCATGTGAGAAATTTGGAAATTTCAGATATTTTTAACATAATTTTTTTTCAGTTTTAAAGCTACTTTTATTAGAATAGCCATAGTAACAAAATCTAGAGATCTGAATGTGCTTTCTTTCTCTGTCTTCTATCATCTCATGAATTAAGTGGGGAGGCTGTCTGAGGTCTTATCATAGACCACTTTGCTGATCTGGGCTCAAGGTTCATTTATCTGATTGTTGTCTTGGTAGCAGATCTTCAAGGCCGTTTTCTATACTCATTATAGTTGATCAGAATGGTAGAATTGAGTGGAAAGTTAAAAAAAAAAAACAGCAACAGCAAATCCATTTCCATACTGTTTCCCAGAAATGTGCACGGTTGTGACTGTGTAATCACCAGCAATTATGTTCAACTTTATAAATATAAATGGGCAGCATATAATTGAAAACATCTCTACTACATTACAAAAGCAATAGAAGACAATAAACATTAGCTTTTTGGTACCATCCAGGCTGATAAAGTAGTTAATGTCAGCTAAAATGAACTCTGTTGTTTCATTGTGTCTGAAACCAGCTTGTTTAAAACAACCATAGTTTTTGTTAATAGCTCCTAGTTCAAATGACACAAAAATGGAAGTTTTAAGCATCTTTTCTCCTCCTTTTTTGGATAGATCCGGAAACAGGGAGTGTAATAATGGTCTCTGGCTGTTTTAGTGGATTGTATGAAATGGCCCCATTGTCCTGATAGAGACATCTGCCTAATTAGCTAGATATTTTGGAATTGAAAAACTTTATGGAATCTGTTTGGCATTATATTTGTACTTTATTTTCTCCTTCTGTTTTAAGTTTGGGTTAATGAATAATTCCCATTTAACTGCATGGTTTTTATGTCTCTGTAATCATTTTTCTTCTGAAATAGTGTGGATCCATATGGTTTTGAAAGACCAGCTGACTTTGACTACGCAACCTATGAAGAATTCTTTTCTAGATACTTAGTGGTACTCACTCGAAGAGCAATTAAGTGGTCCAAACTTTTAAAGGGAAGCACAAGGGTACAGAAAAACATAAAAGGTAAGACTATACCATGTTTAAATATGACATCGGGACAAATAGTTTTCATTTTAACTTGCAACCTTTTATTTTTTTCAAAAGGTATTTTATTACATTTTAGAGCCATCATTTCCGAGACCCTGTGCTTGTTTATCATTATTTCTCTAGCAACTTGTGTAGAAATTTGGCAATTTAATTGCTGAACAAACAAAAATAAACAAAACTGAAGTGCAATAACGCCTAGATTCTGTGGTTCATCACTGACAAATTGGTTTGATTTCTGTATAGATTCTGTCCTTGAAAGAAGTTAATCTGTTTATTGGTATAAATATTTGTTAACACTAATTATTTGTTGCAAAACTGGAACAATGAGTTGTCATCTGAAGACAAAAGCAATCTTTCTCACATAGTTTTCTAATACATAGCACTTTTAGAAAGCCTTATTTATAAATACAAGTTATTAAACAGGCGAATATAAATGCTGAATGAATGCATACAATTTATTTTTAAAGAGCGGCGCAGAGTTGTTTGCTATGAGATGGGTGGCAAATAATATCAATAAATAAATACATGAGTATAATTATATTTTAGATAGCAAACCATACTTTGAACTTCCTCATACATTTGTTTCCATCAGTTCTGTTTCTGCAATCACAAGAGAGACTCTGTGAACTTTTCTTTTTGTTTTTGCCACAGGGATCCCAAAATCACATCCGGTGCTATTCCAGGCTTCCCTAGTACTTATTGGTAGATTTTCAAAGAGTATTGAAAAATGGAGCAGGAAAGAAAAGTGAGGAAACACAATTTTACGATCAAAGTGTGTTCCATGGAAAATGAAGTCTAAACCAATAAGCTAAAACATCCATAGATTTAAGAGAGATGTACAAGCCAAGGTTTAATCATTCTGAGAACTGAAGTTAATTTGCCATAGATATCTAAACAGCAGATAATATGTACACCTATACTTTATAGCAGCTGCCTACTGATGTCAAGAAGCAAGCAAGAAGAAAAATAAATATAAAGAAAAAGACATTTCTCTGTTTAAAATATTTTGGCAAATGAGATATTAAATCTAACATGACATTATTTACTTAACTGGCTGTATGGACACTATTTGAATGATAATGTACAATTATAAAATTAACAGTACTTTATAAAAGCAGTAAGCTGAGCTGATTATATTGTCAATTAGATTAGAAAATGAAATATTGGCAGGGTTCAAAAGGGAAGTTATATTTGGCCTTTGTTCAAGTGGGAGCCCTCAACATATGCTAGACCAAACCTACCATGTTATTATACAGAGAAATCCTGATTCAGAAGGGAAGATCTGATTTGGAGTGCATGCGTGGTGCACGTATTACACTTGTCAGCAATTCCTTTCTGGAACTGTGACAGCTGCCTATTAAGTCAGGAAAAGACACACTTAAATATATGCTGATAGGCATCACGTGTGCATCTCTGTGTGCTCTGTATAATTTTTTCCTGAATCACATTGCTGCACCACACTACTAACATTACTATGGTGAAAGGAGTTAGGTTTGTTGGGCTAAGCTGCACATGTGTAATGAATATTTAAATAAGATTTAATTCAACACATCTTAATCAGCCACACAGAGATTTCAAAATTCCAGTAACACATTCTGGGCATCCAGGTGACTCCTCCTTGTAGTTAATAGACTAATCCTTCAACACTAGAAATATAAATGTAAGTATGGCCCCTACATATATATCTATGAGGAGTCCCAACATATTCTATATCCGTGGTGGCGAACCTATGGCACGTATACCACAGGTGGCATGTAGAGCCCTCTCTGTGGGCTGTCGCCCCAATCCTAGGCCTTCAGCTGGGTTTTATAAAACCTTTTCGCTTTAGGCCTCGCTGCCATGTGCAAAAAAAAAAAAAACGTTCAATCAATCAATCAATTTCAACTTCTTGCGGGGAAAAAAAAAGATCTCACAAAGTTGGAATTGATTGATTGAACTTTTTAGTCCCGCCCAGTCTGCCGTTACCACAAAAGCCATGCCCACCCAATGGGCCATGCCTTCCCAATGGGCCACACCCACCCAATGCACCACACCCACCCAATGGGCCACGCCCACCTGACGATACATAAGTGGGTTTTGGATTGCAGTTTGGGCACTCGGTCTCTGAAAGGTCACTGCTCTATATCATCTTTTGTCATTGTTTCACACTCTTGTTTCCCTTTCCTTTTTTCTTTTTTCTAATGTTCTTCATTTTGCTTAAGTCCCCCCCCCTCAGTGGCTTTCTCATTTGAGATCTGGGTGCACATGTATTTCCAATCCCCCCCTTCTCTATTCTTCTTTACAGAATGACACCTTATCGATATTTCAGAATTAGTAGCTGTGCCAGGGAAGTGTCAGCCACAAGAGAAAGAGAAGGTCAAAATATTCAGATATACTATTTCCTTTTTGGTATAAATATCCCAGAGAAAAATCTAATTTATCAGGTGGCAAGGGTGTTGTGTCCTGAGCCTGCAAAAGCAGGTTCTGGACGTTGCATTGGTCCCAGGCATTCCAAAAGCTGCCCAGGACCAGACTAAGTGGTGCCGGCCTTGTGCGCATGCACAAGGCACAAAAATGCCCCGTTACTTTTTTTGTTTTTGTTCGGGTCTCTGGTCGCTTAAAGATGCCTGCGTGCTTGTTACTGCCTGTTCTGTTTTGAGTAAAGAGGAATAAAGAGCTGTTGAACTTCGTCATGTTTACTCATCATTCGCAAGTGAACGGAGTATTTAACACTGGCAATGAAGGTGGGATTCTTTGCAAACTAAAGAAAAAGTTTTGAGGACTTACCAAGAAAGTCCTGAAGAGGGAAGATGGCGTCTGAATCAGCGTCCCAGCCTGCCAGTATAGCGTCGCTGGAGGGTGAGCTCGGCTAAAAGGACCCTTCCCCCAAACAGAAGTTTGCAGAGGAGCGAGTGGTGAAAGTAGCAAAGGTATGATGGCGAACATTTGTCATTTGGCTGATTTTGATGTCTCACACCCAGAGAGATGGAACTCCTACGTTGCAAGGATGGAGACTTACTTCACAGTAAACCAAATCAAAGAGGATGGCTTGAAAGCTGCAACTCTTTTGTGTGTTTGTGGACAGGAAGCTTTTGAAATTGCAGAGAATCTGGTGGCCCCTGCACTTCTGGAATCAGTATACTGATTTGAAGAAAATGCTAAAGGAACACTTCCAGCCAAAGTTATCTGTTACTGCTTGGAGGCACGCGTTCAAACAGAGAGACCAGAGGCCGGGTGAATCTGCTACAGATTTTATTGCGGCCTGAAGGCAAGCAGCCAGACCATGTGAGTTTAAGGATCTGGAAGAGAAGCTGCGAGATCGTTTCGTATGCGGTTTAAGGAACAGAGACTTACAGCAGAAGATTTTTGCAAAGAAGATGTCTCTTTCCAAGATGCTCTACGAGAGGTGACAGCTGAGGAAGCAGCAGGCGGGGCTGTGAAGACCATAAGGCCCACCAAGACCCCTCCAGAGTCAGCTATAGTCCATCAAGAGGACGCTAGAGAAGAATTGGAAGCAGATCCTGAAGAAGAGGTGGATAGACTTCACCAGCCAGCTGGAAAGAGGCAGAAGGAATGACTGGACAAGGCTCCAGCACCTCTTCAAAGCCTTGGGATAGAGGACGCCACAAGTGAGCTGATTGCAGATTCCGCTCCACCATTTGCAGAGCGTGTGGCAGGCAAGGCCACATCGCATCCATCTGTTTGGGTCGCCAGAAGGTACAACCTCTTGAAGAATTGTGTCTGAAAAGTAACAGGGTCCCCAGCCGACATAGGGTGGGTTTCTGCGCATCGCGCAGGAGTATTTTAAAGACAGGAACACATAAGCGCCTTAAGAAGAAGCTGTCCATCAATCTAAGGCTGCAAGGGGTTCCCTTATCAATGGAGCTGGACACTGGGTCTGCCCTCTCCATTATTTCCATTAACACATTCAAAAGGATATGCAGCTGCAGTGGCCTTCGAGTTAAACTCAGGCATCCAATCTAATTCTTACAGATTTTCAGAATTCTATGGTGTGTGTTAAGGGGGAGGCCACCCTTAGAGTACAACATAAGGATTTTGAACGTCCCCTAGATGTGGTGGTTGTTGGGGGTGAATGCATGAGTCTTATTGGACTCGATTGGTTTGAGGCCCTGGGGATCCAGGTCACTGGGCTGCACAATTTGCAAACGTTAAGCCTTGCAGAAATCTGCAAGGAGTTTGCAGATGTGTTTATTTCAGGGATAGGATCCTACAAAGGGCCCCCAGTTTCACTAAGGTTAGACCCAAACATCACGCCCATAAGGGTTAAGCCTAGGAGGGTACCTTTTCCCCTCAAAGGCAAGATTGATGCTGAGCTGGACAAACTGCTCCAGCAGGGCATTTTAGAACCTGTAGATTCTAGTCCATGGAAAACCCCCATAGTAATGCCTCTAAAGGCTAATGGGGATATATGTATATGTACAGACTACACGTGCACACTGAATAAGGCATCACAATAGCACGCTTATCCAGTGCCTGTGGTAAGTCACATTCTGGCCTCCCTCAAGGGGGGGGGCACATTTTTGCGAAGCTTGACCTGGCACAGGCCTATCAACAGCTACCTGTTGATGAGGCAGCTGCTGAGGCCCAGACTATTGTAACTCACAGGGGGGCCTTCAAGGTCAAGAGACTGCAATTTGGGGTAAATGTAGCCCCTGGCATATTCCAAAGTGTCATGGAAAGCACACTTCGAGGCATTCCTGGGGTCTGTCCTTATTTTGATGATGTCCTCATTGCTGGGGAATCATCTCAAAATTTAGCAGAGAGATTAAGGGCTGTGTTGCTTCGTTTTCGAAGAGCAGGCCTTAAGTTAAAGAAGGACAAGTGTAAGATAGGAGTCACTTCTACTGACTTCTTAGGATTCAGGATAGATGCTCAAGGCATTCACCCTGCTGAATCTAAATTGCAAGCTATCCAGAAGGCCCCAAGTCCTAAGTCTAAAAGTGAGCTGCAAGCCTTCTTGGGGCTATTAAACTTTTACCATGCATTTCTTCCACATAAAGCTGCAGTAGCAGAGCGTTTACATAGGTTTTTAGACAAGCAGTCCACGAGAAGCGTTTCAGTGTTAAAGCCTTGCTCACTTCTAAGGCAGTTTTAGTGCATTTCAATGAGCAACTGCCTGTTTGCATCGCATGCGATGCATCTCCTTATGGGGTTGGAGCTGTACTCAGTCATCTGAAGGCTGATGGGATGCAGGTCCCTGTGCCTATTATTCAAGGACTCTGTCTTCTGCTGAGCAAAATTACGCTCAAATTGACAGAGAAGCCTTGGCCATAGTCGCTGGCATTAAGAAATTTCATGATTTCTTATACGGCCGCCATTTCACGGTCTTTACGGACCACAAGCCTCTGTTGGGGCTGTTTACCACTAACAAACAGACACCACATATAATTTCTCCTCATATGCTGAGATGGTCCATTTTCCTGTCAGCATATGACTATACGTTGGTCCACAAACCAGGAAAAGAAATGGGTCATGCAGATGGCCTGAGCAGATTAGCCCTGAGCCAATTAGAGCCAGCTCCAGCTCCAGCCATTAATATTTTGTCCATTCAGGAGTTACCTGAGTCTCCTCTCAATGCTAGCGATGTGGCTGCAGAAACTGCAACTGATCACACGCTTACACGCGTGCTGATATGGGTGTTGTCTGGATGGCCTGACAAGTGCCCAGATACTGAGTTCCAAAGCTTCTGGCTCAAGAAGCATGAGTTTTCCATTTTCAAGGGTTGCCTGTTATGGGGTAGCAGGGTAATAATTCCGACCTCATTGAGGTCTAGAATCTTGATCTCTCTGCATGAGGGACATCCTGGAATAGTCAGGATGAAAGTACTTGCTCACAGCCATCTTTGGTGGCCTGGCCTCGATAAAGCCATCGAGGCCCAGTTGCACGGGTGCCAAGTATGCCAACAGTCCCGTCCTGAAATGCCTCAGGCCCCAGTACATAGGTGGGAGGAGACTCAAACCCCATGGTCTAGGGTGCATATAGATTATGCTGGTCCCTTTCAGGAGCAATTCTTCCTGGTTGTTGTTGATAGCCATTCCAAGTGGCTAGAGGTTGTTCCTGTTTCCTCCACTACTACTGCCAGAACCATCCAGGTGTTGAGAGGAATTTTTGCATCACACGGTCTTCCAGATGTTCTGGTTTCAGATAATGGCCCCCAATTTACCTCTTCTGAGTTCCAGGCTTTTCTTCAGTCCAATCTGATCTGGCATGCGACTTCGGCTCCATTCCACCCATCCTCCAACGGACTGGCTGAGAGAATGATGTGAACCACCAAAAATGCCCTCAAGAAACTGACTTACAGTAACTGGCATCACAGATTAGCAGACTTCCTTCTTGCACACCACACCACACCATGCACTGCTACAGGAAAGAGCCCCGCTGAACTCCGCTGAGGTCACATCTTATCACTAAACTGGACAGGTTGCACCCAGACTGGGTGGCTTCACAGATGTCACAACTGCAGGCACCTAGGAGACTCCAAGTGGGTGATCCGGTCTGGGCACGGAACTATGGGCCTGGTCATCTCTGGGTCACAGCTATGGTCTGCAAGGTCTCTGGGCCGCTTTCATACGAAGTCGCCTTGGGAGACAGCTGCGTTCTTCACAGACACATTGACCAACTGCGTAGGAGACTGGACTCTCACTCTTCCATTCCTGGCTCTGCTTGGGGGGGGGGAGGAGGGCTATAATATGCATTCTGAGGTTCAGTTTCACAGGCCTAACAGGCCATCATTAGCCGCTGCTGAGGCTATTGGGGATTCATCCCAAGGATTCATAAGTACTCCAGACAGGGAGTCACACCGGGGGTATCCACATTATTCACACGTCAGATAGTGCTCCAGACAGGGAGACTGACCGGGGAGTATCCACATAAATCACAAACAGCCAGAGAACAAGAATTCCAGCAGGGCCGCTGGCCCAATTCCGCAGTTGCTCCCAGAAGGAGGTCAACAGGGAAGGGGGTAGCCAGGGAGGCGACTCCTGACTCTGGTACCTTGGGCACGTGCTTGGGGGCCACAGAGTACTGGGGCACTTCTGCTACCCAGCACTCTTCATCTGCTGGCCTTGGGTTCGAGGGACAGTGTTCCCAAGAAGGATCCATTGTGGACCCGGGAACTTCCACCCCTCCAGGGTATGCTGGCTCGGACTTAGAGGGTCTAGCCAGCCAGCAGATGGGGGGTCAACCGGGTATTTGGGGCAGCAAAGTCCTGGTCTGCCTAGCCTGGTAGGCGAGCAGGTGGGCCAGGCAACCTCACCGGGGTCTCCGGAAGATTTAAGGCAGCCACACACTGGCCTGCCTCGCCGAGTAGGCGAGCAAAGGGGCAGGCAATCTCTCCTGGCCCTAGGAGGTCGCAGCGGGCCAAGTGCCCACCCAAGTGAGTTTGTGAAGTTGCTGTCAAGTTCTAAGGGTGCTGCTCGTAAAGGCCCTAAATAGGGATAGATTATTTTGTATTATTTTTTGATTTTGGATACATTTATTCCTTAGCAAGTAGAAGAGGTTTTACCTGAGGGTACCCTCGGGTATTCCACATTCCATGCATTTGATTTGTGGAACTATATAACACTCTCCCAAGGTATGTTGCACTTTTGTGCGCACAGATATGTTCCATCTAGGGGGGAGGGGTGTTGTGTCCTGAGCCTGCAAAAGCAGGCTCTGGACGTTGCATTGGTCCCGGACATTCCAAAAGCTGCCCGGGACCAGACTGAGTGGCGCTGGCCTTGTGCGCATGTGCAAGGCGTGAAAATGCCCCATTACTTTGTTCTGTTTTTGTCCGGGTCTCTGTCGCTTAAAGAGGCCTGCGTGCTTGTTACTGCCTGTTCTGTTTTGAGTAAAGAGGAATAAAGAGCTGTTGAACTTTGCCATGTTTACTCATCATTTGCAAGCGAACGGAGTATTTAACAAGGGGCATACGCTGCTATATGAATTTGTGCATTTTAAAACAAGAGCTGTGTTTGCATGTTTACCTAAGTTATTTATTTTTTCTTTCATTTTTTTCCTGTTTAGCTTTATATAATCCACTCATGGTGGTTTACTTAACAAGCCATTATTTTAAAAATTCAGTTTAGCATTATATTGAATGAAGTCACATTCTTTCTGTATAAGTGGAGGTTGTAGCATATTTACTTTACTGTTTAAGTTCTCCCCTTAAGTACATATAATTACATAACCTTGGTGATTATGGCTTCAAAATCTAAGGGACTGGTTTGGACAAAACTCAGCATAATTTTTTCGTGCGGCTGCTGATAAAAACAGGATCGCCAACATGATCGCCAACATCCGATAACGGATATGGCACAAGAAGAAGAAGGTGATTCTAAATTATAATGGGCCCCAAAATGTTGTTAAAAGACTATGATTTTCTGAATAGTAAACATTAAATTACAAACCTTCCAGGGAACCCTTTGAAAAGCATTTTTTATTTATAGTGGAAATTAGGTTCTCTATTCTGAGAAGCAGAAAAATAGAAAAACATCAGAATAATGGAACATCTTTTCTTGACAAATCCCTTAAACCATAGGTGTCAAACTTGTGCGTCACGTGATGTGTCGTGACGTATTGCAACTTCTTTCACATTGTCAGAGCTGGGGTGGGTGCAGCCTCTGTATGATGCAACCGCCTGCAGGCCAGCACCCCTGCCTTAAACACCCCTGCCTTAAACGATGCACTGGGACACTTTCTTCAGGACACCTACACTTAGCATAGCAGTTAAGAAGTTCCTTCTACATACAAGCATGTTATAATATAGATTGGCAATGAGTCTCTGTATGCTCACAACGCAGTGTGAGGTGGCAGAATTTGGTAGTTCGAGCTGATTAACTTCTGTAGATAAGACACCATGATAGCCTGGCCAATATTCTTTCTATTTTCCAAGTTGCTCTCATGGGAAGTTTATCCTCGTCTCCATCTTTCGGGTTTTAGGCAGCTTCTTACAGTTGTTGCAAGAGGCCTGAAGTGACTCCAAAGTTACTGTGGTTATTGGTATGTCTCATCTTGAAGGACAATATGAAATTGTAATGTTGGAATGAAACATTAACAACATTGAATGCACCTTGATGTATGACAGTGCAAGATGGTCCTCTATCTCCACTGTTAATATGTTTAATATATTTTAATTATTTATAGCTTTAATTGTTGGGTATCATTATGGCATCATTTTACATGTTAAAACATGTATTTTAATTAATTTATTGCAGTTAAACGCTATATCAGAAAAGGTATTCCAAATGAGCACCGTGCCGAAATCTGGATGGTAGTGAGTGGTGCTCAGTCTCATATGGATCACAACCCAGGCTACTACCAGAAATTATTGGAAGGAGACCATAACAGCAAACTTGTCGAAACTATTATGACAGGTTAGCTTCAAAATACATGTCTATACATTTTTTTTATTGTGTGTGTGTGTGTGTGTGTGTGTGTGTGTATGTATTAGGATTTTGTTGTCCACATTTCCCTGCACAGATTTAATACATATAAGTATGACCATCTTCTTGCATTGTGGAGGTGCATGAAACAGATAATTATTGTTTTGCACAGAAACAATGGTTTTTATGTCAATTAAAACATCTTAAGGATCACTGAATTATTTCTCCTTGTCTCTCACTACCTGTCAGAAAAATTGGCAGATATGTTGCCGTTAATCTAGTACTAATTCTAATATAAAGCTCTTAAGTTTCCTGCAAGTTTAGAATTCTGTGATAAATTTTCCATTTACTTGCTGCAACTTAATTTTTCTAAATTAGTTATGGGAAGATGAGAGGTAGTCCTAGAGCAGACATGTCAAACACAAGGCCCGGGGGCCGGATGTGGCCCGCAAAGTGGTTTCATGTGGCCCGTGAAGCCATCCTGGAAACAGTGAGGGAACAGCCCCCGCTGCCTTGGCCCTGGCCCAGGCCGGCCAGGAGCCAATGTACAATTTTGTGGTGGCCATCTATGCTGAAACACATTCAGTCTTAGCTCCACAAGGCTGTCTGGAAACAGCGAGGAACCAGGAGAATCTTGAGCAGCAGTCTTGAGGAAGTGGGGCTGGGCTTGGTGCTGCAGGTGCTCAAGGGCCAGGCTGGGCATTTGACCTCTGCTGCCCAGGGCTCTGGCAGCCTGTACTACCAACCCTCCCCTCCCGCATGGCCTGAGAGGAACAGTGAGGCTCCTCCAGTGGACCATGCCTTGGCACTTGCCCTGGTCCCATCCCCTTCTGCCAGAGACCCTCAGATCTGTCCCACTCCTGCCCAGGCCCCCACAGGCACCCTTTGATGCGAACGATGTAGAGCTGGCCATGCCCATCCAATAGGCCACACCCACTCCATCCACGCCCACCCAGTAGGCCGGACCCACCCTGGCCGCACCTACCTGGCCCCTGAGGGCAACTGCAATGCTGATGCAGCCATCAATGAAATTGAGTTTGACACCCCTGTAGAGGAAGCTAAATAATGACTGAACAGTGCTACACTAGATTTTCCCAACTGTATCACAGTTGTGCTGGGATTGAGGTTCTAAAAATGTCCACAATGGGAGAGTGTAAAATTCCAACAAATCTAGACAACACTGTGTTTGAGAAGACTGTTTGAAAACAAGTGAAGCTGCTTTTCTGGGACTGCCTTTATATCATTGCATAGAAGTCTTCCTCCACCTTGTGTCGACTGGCTATTTTGGGCTGCAGCCTCTGACCCAGTTCAGCTGGTGGAAGTTTTAAACTCTGAAGGTCATTGAGGTGTGGAACACTAGGACTGAATGCTGAAATATGCTGAAATATTTTACTCTATTTTTGTTGTTGCTGCTTTAGTTTGAAAATTAAATTGCTAATTTTTAAAAAATGAGTAGTGTTTTTGGATTATCCTGATACATTAATTTGGAGGAATTCATAGGAAATAAAAAAGCAACTAGAGTGATAAGCTAATATTTCTCTGAATATGATAAATGTTAATTGACATAAGCAAATTGATACAATGGTAGTAACATAAAAAGATTTACTGTTTACAAAGCAAGTGTCCTCAAGAAAAATTAAGATTATTACTATTTGAGGCTTTTGTAACCGGCGTTTTACAGTGTGGTTGGAGTAGATATTTGTTGAAGCGGCTGAAGCAAGTCCTAACAAGGCTGAGCTAATGATAAAAACATACCAGGACAAGAACTACAGGCAAAAACTGAGTTATCAGAAAGTAATGGTCTAGAACTGTGGTGGCAAACTTATGGCACGCATGCCACAGGTGGCACGCAGAGCCCTCTCTGTGGGCACGCGCGCCCTTGCCCCAGTCCTAGGCCCTTGCCCCAGTCCTAGGCCTTGGGTTTTATAAAATCTTTTCACTTTAGGCCTCTGCTGCCGTGTGCAAAAAAAAAAGGTTTAATCAATCAATCAATTTCAACTTCTCGTGAGAAAAAAAAAGATCTCGCAAAGTTCGAATTGATTGATTGAACTTTTTAGTCCCACCCCAGTCTGCCGTTACCACCGCAGCCACGCCCACCCAATGGGCCACACCCACCCGACACCCGACGATACATAAGTGGGTTTTGGGTTGCAGTTTGGGCACTCAGTCTCTAAAAGGTTCACCATCACTGGTCTAGAATGTAAATAGTCACATGCAGGTTGCTGGAAATGTGCCAACCGGCTCATGAGCAAGAAAAAGAACTACAGGTAGTCCTCAACTTACAACAGATCGTTTAGTGACCATTCAAAGCTAAAACAGCACTGAAAAAAGTGTCTTATGACAATTTTTCACATTTATGACCGTTGCAGCATCCCCATGGTCATGTGATCAAGATTCAGACGCTTGGCAACTGACTCATTTATGCCGGTTGCAGTGTTGAGAAAATGTGACAAGAAAAGTTGTATAATGGGACAAAACTCACTTAACAAATGTCTAATTTAGTAACATAAATTTTGGGCTAAATTGTAGTCATAAGTTGAGGACTACCTGTAATCAGAAGGAAAAAGGCCTGGATAGATATAGCACGAGAATTTGATATCCCAAAGAGAAGATATTTTTGTCAATAAGAAAGGGCAAGATACAATGAACAGGTGGAGAAAGTAAATAAAGAATTTTGTTAGAAAGTTTGAAGGACAGTAAACAAAGATAGGTTTCCCACAACAAGACTTCCCCAAAATGGTTATTCTGAAATGTAACATAGTATATATACCCTAGTTTAAAAGGGAATGGGTGAAAAAAAATCACTTATTTGAAGCTGACCAACTCAAGAGACTCCTTGTGCAATGATGGGAAAGCTCATACAACAAAACCTATCCTGCCTCGATGTCCCCCTAGTTATTCAAAGGGTGTTGGTAACAGAGTAATGCAGACTGAGTAACAAATAAGGTTGTTTAAGGTTATAAGATACAGGTAGTCCTTGACTTACAACAGTTCATTTAGTGAACAGTTCAAAGTTACAATATCATTGAAAAAAATGACTTATGACCATTATGCAACATCCACATGATCATGTGATCAATTGCTTGGATGCTTGGCAATTGACTCATATTTATGACGGTTGCAGTGTCCCGGGGTTATGTGATCAGCTTTTGTGACCTTCTCACAAGCAAAGTCAATGGGAAAGTCAGATTCATTTAACTATATTACTAATTTAACAAGTGCAGTGATTCACTTAATAACTGTGGCAAGAAAGGTTGTAAAATGGAGCAAAATTCACTTAACAAATGTCTCACTTAGCAACATAAATTTTGGGCTCAATTGTGGTCGTAAGTCAAAGACTACCTGTGTTTTTCTCCGGTTTCGGTTTATGTATTTTATGGGGATGCAGGTAGTCTTTGACTTTGACTTATGACCATAATTGAGTCTGGAAGTTCCAAAGATGCTTTTTTCAGTAGGCAACTGGACTTTCTTGCTTTTTCCTTGAAGATGTTTCGCTTCTCATCCAGGAAGCTTCTTCAGCTCTGACTAGATGGTGGGGAGTGGAAGGATTTATATTGCTTGCAGACAGAAGCAATATAAATCTTTCCACTCCGCACCATCTAGTCCAGGGGTTCTCAACCTTGGCAACTTTAAGACTTGTGGACTTCAACTCCCAGAATTCTGGGAGTTGAAGTTCACAAGTCTTAAAGTTGCCAAGGTTGAGGACTTCTGATCTAGTCAGAGCTGAAGAAGCTTCTTGGATGAGAAGCCAAATGTCTTCAAAGAAAAAAATAAGAAAGTCCAGTTGCCTCCTGAAAAAAATACCTGTGGGCCAACCAGACCTGGATGACTGAGAATCTCCACAGACAATCATAAGTTGTTAAGCGGGTCATCATGTGACTGACCCAAATTTGAGTTTTTTTTTCCAGTGGTTGTTAAGCAAATCTGCAGTTGTTAAGTGAACCGATTGTCCCAAATGGGCATTTTTTTTGGTCAGCAATGGGAAGTAAACGCCAATTTCTGGCAAAAGATATTGCAAATTGCAATCATGTGATTTGGGATTCTGCAAATGGCCATACATGTGGGTTGGTTACATGACTATGGTGAGGGGGGGGAACCATCATAACTTAGAACCCAGGTTGTAAGTTCCTTGTTTGGATCTGTGATAGCTTTAAATGGTTGCTAAGTGACCAGTCAGGTTGAGGATTGCCTGTACCTAACTTTTATAGCAATAAAAATGTTTTGTTTACAATCTTCTCCAACAGAATAACTCCTTATCCAACAGTGACCATGCGGTGCTGCTCTAGAGAAAAAATAAGACTAAACCTCAATAGTATAACATTATCCATATAGCCATTTACAGGTAGTCCTTGACTTATGACCACATTTGAGCCCAAGATTTCTGGTGCTAAGCAAGGCAGTTAAGTGAGTCATGCCCCATTTTACAACCTTTTTGTCACCATTATTAAGTGAATCACTACAGTTAAGTGAATCATGCAGTACTTAAGCGAATTTGGCTTCTTCCATTGACTTTGCTTATCAGATGCTCCCTAAGAAGATTGCAGATGACAGTCCCAAGACTCCAGGATATCAGCAGCCATCATGCATACATGACAGTTACCAAGTGCCCAAATCTTGATGGGGATGCTGCAAAGGTTGTAAGTGTGAGAACTGGTCATAAGTCACATTTTCAGTGCCCTTCTAACTTTGAGCAGTCACTAAATGAATGATTGTAAGTCAAGGACTGCGTCTATAGTGCTTCCTGGCTGTTCTAAGTAAAATCCTAAAAGCAGTGTCATTTAGCCATATAACTAACGTTGCATAACTATGCAGTAACATATAACTCTTTAAGCATCTCTACAAGCACCGCTGCTACCTATACCAACCACTCTATCCTGCAGGGTTCTCTGGATCAGTTTCAGTGCCTGCTAATTTAAAATTCATGTCTTTATTAAAGGGAGAGTTGGAATACTAAATAGGACTCCGATTTGGTCACACTCGAGACAAGCCTATTTTACTGAAAACTGGGCATGCCCAGAAATGCAGACAGGAGGAAGAGCATGATGGGAAATTCTTGATACTTTAAGCCAAAATGTATTACTTAATTATCATATTTTAGCTGTCCCTTCTACCCCTTCAAATATAGCTATATATTCATACACATTCTTGTATATGTCTTTGTGGCTCTTCTGAGTCTTGCGAGAAGAGAACGTCATCATCTTAAGTGATTTAAATAGGCACCACTGATTTTTATTCCATATTTATTCTATCCAGTCTAGTTTGTGAACTACTTCTTCAAGGCAGGCTGAGAAAAGGCTAGCCCAGGAGTAGGCAACCTTGGCTCTTTTATGACTCGTGGACTTCAACTCCCAGAATTCCTGAGCCAGCATGGCTGGCTCAGGAATTCTGAGAGTTGAAGTCCACGAGTCATAAAAGAGCCAAGGTTGCCTACCCCTGGGCTAGGCGATATTGTATTGCCTTGTTGTACACCTTGTTCTATGTTGATTTCCACTTTAAGGTCATCAAGGCAAATTGTTGCCATTGTTTTTTCATATATTGATTGTAGTAAGTTTATGTAAGCAGTGTTTATGCTTGATTGAATAATGCCTTAATTTGCATGCTGGAATACTGAGACACATACAACAGGAGAACCATTTGGCTTAAAAATAAACCTAAAAAAGAACCAGGTTATATTGAATAAATTCATCGAAGAAAGAAAATAAATTATATCTGGAGAAAAACTAGACATATACAGATATACAGACTACATATACAGATCCTTAGCCAACAGATCTCAATGGAAGGTGATACAATAAAGGAAATTGAACAGGGTGTTAAATGTGGTTGGCAGGCATTCGGCAAGCTAAGCATAATTTTCAAGAACAGCCTCCCCCGATGCCTGAAGAGAAAAGTTTTCGATCCGTGTGTGCTACCTGCTCTAACCGATGAATATGCCGATGAAACATGGTCACTAACCTCACAATTAATTATACAAAAGTTACGAGTGGCGCAAAGAGCCATGGAAGGATACATGCTCGGCATTACAAGACAACACAGAAAGACCTGCGCATGGATTAGAGAACAAACGAAAGTATATGATATCATCAAGAGAGTAAAAGAATTGAAATGGAAATGGGCTGGTCACATAACAAGAAGAACTGATGGCAGGTGGACCAAGGGAGTCACAGAATGGATCCCACTTGATAAAAAGTATACATAAAAGAGACCTAAAACAAGATGGATCAATGATATCAGCAAGTATTGTGGGCCCAGTTGGCAAAAGAAAGCTCAGGACCATATTGGTTGGCAACATGAGGAAGAGGCCTTCATCCTGCAGTGGACAGAAAATGGCTAAGATGATGATGATGATGATGATGATTCATACAAGTTAGTCTTTACTCACAGTTCTTAGGAGTGATATATTTCTTAAAACTAGTGTGATTGCAAGGAAATAAATTTTACTGAACTCATTGGAAGTTATCTTTAAATGACTTTGAACAGGTCACAGCAACATGTTAGTTTAATAGAGGTAAGTTTCCCAGTCCTTTAATTTCATATATATTCTTTTGGCTAGTTTTTGTATTTAAAGATGCGGCAGTAAATGTAATTAAACCTTAGTCTTAAAAAATTATTGAGAAACTTACATTTTTATAATATAATTCTATGATTCTTTTTACTTATTTGAAGTTAAATTCTATTGGGTTCAAGAATTATTCATTAGGATACATCTAGAAGTGCAATCTGGCAAGAAATGATGGATTTTGTAGATGAAAGAAAAACATAAAGCCAAAGTAGAATTTTTCTAAAATGTTTGATGTAGGTTTTTGCTTTTGAGCAAAATATTATCTATGTTATCATTTGTTTAATCATAATTTCATGAGTAATTTATGGGGGCTCAATTTGGTTCAGTTCCCAAAACTTTGTTCCATAGATTAATTTTTAACATGTTTAACATGTTTCCTTTTTCAAATTATAGACATAAATAGAACATTTCCAGATAATATAAAGTTCCGCAAAACTGCTGTTCCCTGTTTACAGAAAACACTCTACAATGTATTAGTAGCATATGGGCACCACAACCCATCTGTGGGATACTGCCAGGTATGTAATACTAAAAAATAAATATCTTACTTTTGAAGTAGAAAATAATAGCAAACAAATTTCATATCATTAAATTTTACTCCTGTAGTGTCTTGAATGCTACTTATATTTCAGTAGCTTAAGACATGCAATCTAGTTGTTTTCCATTTGAACCTCTTTGGAATTGCTTTGGAGACTGGTATTGAGCACCTCCTGTCCAGCATTGGATCTGGGTTTAAGAAGAAGTACTGTGCCAGTACTACTGTTACAGGTGACAGGAAACAAGTGAGAATGTGCAAAGAAGAAGGGCACCATCAGCATGTCACTAAGAATGTATTCTAAGGTTTGTATCCTATTTCCTAATGCTTTTGATCATATCTGAGCTAAACTCAATCATTTGGAACAAATCTTATTAAGTTCATACTCTGTCCTAAGTAATAAATCATGAATGAGTAACCCACAAACATTGAGTGCATAATGTGCTAAGTATAATGTGCTAAGTAACCAGATCAAGCATGTTATAATTAAATATGATATTTGACATTTCAAAGGAATGGATAGTATCAAATCAAGATTGCAAACTAGGCTTTTTTAAAGCAAGACCTTTTAATGATTAGGATGAGAGCTAGTTTGGTATAATGTTAAGGCACCAGGCTAAAAAACAAGAGACCATGAGTTCAACTTGTCTTATCTATGAAAGCCACCTGGGTGACCTTGGACCAGTAACTCTCTCTAAGCCCAACTCACTTCACAAGGTTGTTGTGGAGAAAATAGGAGGCGTAAGGTGTGTTGGATATGTTTACTGCCTTATTTGTTAAAATAATAAAGGGATATGAATGGATGGATGGATGGCATTTTGGGTCTCAGCACTTGAAAATCATCTTGAGATTAAGAACCATCTTTTTGATGTAGCAAGTAAATTTCTTCTCTAAAAATTCAGATTCTGCAAACAGGATTCTTCCACTAGGGTTAATCAAAAGGATTTTAAGAGTTTATAAATATTATTGAAAAGGGGCATAGAGACCTGTGTTGTACCATTTGATAATTGTAAGTCTGTTGAATGGGACTAGTCACATGACTAATATGATTTTACACATGCATGTTTCTTGCACCAGTGGAGTTGCTTCCTTGTTGTTACAGTAGAAAAGAATGTGGCTAAAAATAGTTTTAGAGCAGCCTTTCCCAATTGATGATCTTTAGCATAGTCATGTAAGTTGGGGTTATGATATCCAGAATTCCTAGCCAGTATTATCAGTTTGAATATCAGTTCATCCAGCAGAAACCAGTATAGCAAAGAATAGATCTAGGTTCTCCACCTACCCAGGTGAGCCATTCCTCTTTCTCTCATTGGTGAAGCTTAATGGAATAATGTTCTTCTTTTCCAAAATGCCCCTACAACTAACATATATTTTCCCTGAAGGAGGCTATGAGGGGCAATCTGTAGAGGCTTGACAAAGCCAATTGAGGTGGAGAACCAGCATTCTGTGCATGAAGCATTTCCTCTGTTCAGGATGCAACAGGAAGGCAATTCTCCATACCAAGAAACTAGTTGGCCTGTACATTCTCCCATTAAGAAAGTGCTGACAGGTATTTTAAGTGGAATACTTACATGAATGACTGACAGTTCTTGATTGCCTTGCACTTTCCTCAAAGGAAGGCAGAAGACATGAAAAAAGGATTGTTCATAAGAGTGTTTTGCTAGAGTGTCTGTAGAAACTAACTCTGGTAGATATGGAAGTAGGAAAGGAATTGTCTTAAAATCATTCTGCCAAGGGGAGCTGGTCTGGTAGTCCAAATTAGGCTTGTTAACAGAAAAATAATATCAAATTATAGAATAGAATTATTAGAATTTGAATTAGAATTAGAATTAGTCTCCAGTGCATAAACTCTTAATGTACATACAAGCAACAAATGATAAATCATGATTATAATCATAAAATACATTCATCATAAATCATAAGATACAATACTTAGTGATGGTCATATGATACTAAATAAGCAGTCAACATAAATCATACTAGGATACTAAATAAAATAATAAATATAAATTGTAAGATATAAGCAACAAGGTTATAGTCATAAGAAGATAAGGAATAGGTAATAGGAAGGATAAGAAGTATAATAGTAATAAAGCCCTACTAGATAGTTTGACAGTATTGTGGGAATTAGTTGTTTAGCAGAGTGATGGCATGGGGGCTGGGGGGAACTGTCTAGTTGTTTTGGCATGCAATGCTCTATATATGCAATGCTCATCTTGAGAGAAGAAGTTGAAACAGTTTATCTCCAGGATGTGAGGGGTCTATCCCTGTCCTAGAATAACTATCATGAATTCATTATACCATCAAATAATTTCAGTAGATGGTGACTTCAGAATACATCCACTGTTTTCCAAAATATTTGACAAATCAGTGCATCAGTAGAGGAATTCGGATAATTATGTGCTTTAGAGCAGTTGAAGTTTTTTCAACTGGATAAAATATGTTGAACATTGCAGGTGGCAGATTGTTCCAAGTACATAGACCTTTCAGAAGCAGTAGAATATATGTGATTCTGTATAATTTATGTTTATATTTCAGGAATTGTTAATTAGTTACCAGTACAAAAATGTTAATGTGACTGACAGCTAACCTATTTCAGAGAATCTCGCAGTGAGCATTCCTTTAAAAGAACTGGACAAGTTTGCTTTGTTATTTTCTGCAAAAGTACTAATAAAATCTTGTACTGGTGTGCATGGTTAATAAATGCACTTGCTCTTTAAACACCCTCTGAGGAGTAGACCTTTATAGTTCCTGCAACCAAATGCCAAATAGTCACCATGGTTGCTATTGTCAAGCAAAATAACCTGACCCCATGGATTGCTTTTTATACTGGTTGTTGCCTTTTCATAGATTAGAAAGAGGAGGTGGGGGGGAAGGGAGGCACTTTTTGAAAAAGGCCAATGTCATATCAACAGATGATTATAAAGTTTTGGAAACTTAGAACAGCTGATTCTATTTGTATGACCGGAAATGTACTATAAAATAATATTGCCACTTTGAACTTTTTGTCTTGTTTGAATCTAAGCTGGCATTATTTATAAAATTAAAAGTATAATCTTTCTGCTTTTGAATTGACTGGAAAGATCAAGAACAGTTAGTGAAACAAAAGCTAAGAGAATTAAAAAGGCAATGAGAAACTGGTGATGCATTGAAATTAAATCTAAATTAATGCAAGTGATATTCTTCCTGAATATTTTAAAACTTACAGCTTACACATTTAACACTTCAAAAGCTACAGCATTAGTCAGCTTTGTTGCAAAGTAATTTTTGATTTGTAAACATGCTTAAATATATTGAAAATATCTATTGGCATAGACACCGGTCTATAAGCTTGTAATAAGGCAAAGGCAAATTTTATACTGACAGCAGAGCTATTTTTTAAATTATCCCAGATCAGTTTCCTTTCTCGTTTATGTCAGATTAACCACCTTATAATTATCTGGATTAATTTTTCATCAAAGCCTTGCAGCCCCCACCCCCAAAGTGCTTCTGTTGGATATGTAAGAAGAAGAAAGAAGAAAGAATTCCTGTATTGCTTAACCAATGAGAAATAAAAAATGTTTTGCTTTTTTTCTCTTTATTTCATTCTTTTGACTCCCTCTTTTGACATTAAATAAATAGGAAATTTATTTATTTCAGGGCATGAATTTCATAGCTGGATACTTGATTCTTATTACAAGGAATGAGGAGGAATCATTTTGGTTATTAGATGCCCTCATCGGCCGAATATTACCTGGTATGTTTGAATCTCACCTCACAATTCATTTCCTATGTTCTGAGATTCCAGAAGTCTAAATATATATGATGTACAATCAGTAATGCATTGAGAATTTATGTTTACCATACCTATATGCAAAATAAATATATGATGTTGTTTGCATCTTGTGATCAAATTTTTTTAAAAGGAGAATGTTTCTAGTGTAACTTTGCTCTGCATTGGAAAATGGAATGTATTTAGACAAGCTTTATCTGGTTATGTGGACTTTCATCTGCAGTCCATTCTTGGCTGATATTTTACTATTTTTATGAGAAATGATTTGGAAAAAACTAACCTAAACCAGAACTGCTCTTCTAAAAGCTTAAAGATATTTATATAATTGTTAAAATAGGTCAGCTGGCATTCTTAGTGGATCTAGTAGCTTTAAAATAGCTTTTCATATACCAGATTGCTAGATAAAGCATTAGGTGGTTCTAAATATATTGATGACTGTAGCTTAACTACTAAAAACAATGATTCAAAACAGTGCTTGGAAGCCAATGTTTTTTTTTAAATAGCCAATATTGATAGATTATGTTGGACTATTTGCAAAATAGTTTATTCAAAGAACATAAAAGCCTTTGCTCTGAGGAAGATCATTAGCTTGACTTGAAGTCTTTTAATTTAGAATAGTTGTCCTTGTTCTCTATATCAGACCTGGGCATTTTACTCCCAGAATTCCCCTGATAAGTTGGCCACTGCTGGGAATTATGAAGTTGATATCCACATATATATAAGTTGTCCAAGAGTGGGGAAATTGTTGTACACCACAGCTTTTTGAAATACAGAATAGGCTCAGTGATCTGCTTATATATATATCTGATAAACTGATGCTGCTTTTCTTATTACTAATTCATTCCCATAGTACTGTCAAAGTAAGGAGGAATTTTTTTGGATGGCAGCATAAAATAGTATTTGGATAAGTTATCTGATGTCTTTCAGAGGGAAGACATAAAATCCTTTATGACTTATTTAGTAAAAAATATCACATTCAACAGGATGAGGAATGATACACTGCACAGAATGTTATACTTCATCCTTAGAATCTAATCTACTCATAAAGTTGATGAGGTAGGTGTTTGCATGAATAAGCTTGGAGCGAATATGAAAAATTAGATGGAGTCTATATTTCTATATACTGTAAATGTATTACAGTTAAGATAAACATGAAATGGAATATAGATATTGCAGAACTAAGCTGATTATATTACATTAAGAAAAAATATTCAGTATTGGTTAACTATTAACTAAGTGTCCAAAATAATTAAATTATTCCTATTTAATTCATTAGCTGCTTTCAGAAGCTACCACTAAAAGTTTGACCATCACAAGAATCATCTTTGTATCTCTTGTATGGTGGCAAAAATGTATATTTGAAATTAAATCTGTTTGATACATTTTAAAATAAACCAGATTAAATCCTTGTGAACTATTACATAAAAATACAGATTATTAAAAATGAGCTCCATTGATCCTAGTTTTGATATTGAAAGAATTAAATCTTTGTAGGATAGAAATCCTTTCAAATCTATATTCCAACACATGAGATGATGGGATATTTAATCTAATCTTAATAAAAGTAATTTGATGTTTATTATGGTCATTTGGAACTGATGCCAAAATCCCATTATAAGATGGATAAATTAATTTTGTTTATTTAGCTCCTGCATGGAGATGTTCCATAATCTCTGCTTAGTCCGTATTGAGAAAGAATTAAAGGACAAAGAATGCATATATATGCATGTACCTGGGTTGAAGAGAGGAATGTACATGTGTTAAAGCAACAGAATTAACTGTTAAGCATGGGGATGTATAGACTAAAATGCATAAATTGAGAAATAACTACTTTTGATTGGTTATGTGCCATCAAACTGATGTTGGATCTTAGCAACTACATAGATAGTTTCTCTAGGATACCTTCCTAACCTGGCCCATCATGTCTTCTAACTGTGTGCCAATCTCTTCTGTAATGAAGTCCATTCACCTTGCTGTGAGTTAGCCTTTCTTCCCCTCTTTCCTTCCATCTTCTTGGCATTATAGACTTCAGAAAAAAATTTAAATCTTTACATAATATGTCTAAACCCGGGGTGTCAAACTCAATTTCATTGAGGGCTGCATCAGCATTGCGGTTGCCCTCGGGGCACCGGGTGGATGTGGCCAGGGTGGGTGCGGCCTACTGGATGAGTTTGGATGGAATGGGTGTGGCCTACTGGGTGGGCGTGGCCAGCTCTACATCGTTCGCGTCAGTGGTGCCTGTGGGAGCCTGGGCAGGAGTGGGACAGATCTGAGGGTCTCTGGCAGAAGGGGTGGGATCAGGACAAGTGCCAAGGCATGGTCCACTGGAGGAGCCTCACTGTTCCTCTCAGGCCATGGGGGGGGGGCTGGATGGTGGTGCAGGCTGCCCGAAGCCCTAGGCAGCAGAGGTCAAATGCCCAGCCTGGCCCTCGAGCACCCGCGGCACCAAGCCCAGCCCCACTTCCCCAAGGGTGTGCCCAGCTGCACTTACCTCCTCCTCAAGGCTGCTGCTGCTGTGCTTGCTCTCCTTAGCCAGGTTGTTCATGATGTGTACGAGGGCAAAGTCAGAGGGAGGCCCATTCCCTCTCCATGGGAGGAGACCCAGCTTTGTATCCATAGCTTCCTTAGCAATAGGATGGGAGACCCCCAGGATATGCCAGGAGGAAGTGGCAAGGGGATGGTGAAAGAGCAGCAGGGCAGGACTAAGGCAGGACTTCCCTCAGACCCTCCCTCTCCTTTTCTTCTTTCCTTCCTTCCATCCTAAGTACAGAGTGGTGGGAAAATATTTGAGATGAGGGAGGAAGAAAAACAGGCAAGAAATGCAGCTGGGGAGGTGTTACCCTTTGTGAGGAATGAAGAAATGCACCATCGTCTGGAAGTGATCAGCACATGGCCCTCACCTTCTTCACATATCTGGCTTGGTGGGCTCTGGGGGAGTGGATGCCATGAGTAGCGTGAGAGTCAACATAACCTGCGCAATGCCGCCCAGCCCCCAGCCTGCCCGGTTTCGGCAGGCAGTGGGGCGCTCTCCTCACTGGTTCCTTGCTGTTTCCAGACGGCCGTGTGGAGCTAAGACTGAATGCGTTTCAGCATAGATGGCCACCACAAAATTGTACATTGGTTCCCTCCCTCCCAGCCGGCCTGGGCCAGGGCCAAGGCAGCAGGGGCTGTTCCCTCACTGTTTCCAGGATGGCTTCGCGGGCCACATGAAACCACTTCGCGGGCTGTATCCGGCCCCCGGGCCTTGTGTTTGACATGTCTGATCTAAACTATTATAATTTCAATCCAGGTATTTGTGCCTTAGTGAGTACTGTATGTTGATTTGTTCAGTGATCCATGATTATTGATTATCCATGATATTTTTTACATCATCAATATTCAGAAACAATACTTTTTATGTCCTGCTTCTTTAATGTTCACTTCCACAGAGAGTCATAAGGAAAACCAATTCTTCCACAGTTCTCATCTTCATAGGTGTAGACACATCCCAGCATCTGAATATCTTTTTCAAGATTGCAATTCTACCAAGTATTGGTATATTTCTTCACTTTATATTGGTAATTGCTCCTTTATATTGGTAATTACTCCTAAAATAGAGAAGCTACCTATTACTTCAATATTTTCACTGTCAGTCCCTGTTGTCATGAGTTTGTCTTTATATTTAATCTTACTACCACTTTTTCACTCTGCTCTTTGACTTTCATTATTATCTTTGCATTTATATTTTCAGTTAAAGGGGTAGTATTTTTATCATAGCACAGTTTACTGATGTTTCTTCCTCCAATTTTTAAACCATCCATATCTTCTTTCAATTCAGTATCCCTTAATATCCAGTCCATTTTGCCATGTTCCACCTAGACCAGTGGTTCTCAACCTTTTTAATGCCGCGACCCCCAACCGGTCATAAGTCGAGGAATACTCAACCAGTCGTAAGTCGAGGACTACTACTACAAACTTGGATGAATATTGAATTAAAGGATTGTCTGTAAATTCTAACTAATATTAATTGGTCATTGATTGCACTATAGCCAAGATCTGTTCTTGCCATAGGCATCCTGTATATGAAAGTACACCTGTTCTTTGTTTTTCATGTCCTGAGCATAGTATGATTTTTTTGACTAAAAGTTTCTTATTTCAGTCCATTTCAATTCACTGATGCCCATGATATCAACCTTTAGTTGATTCATGTCATCTTCTGCTATGTTGAGTTTTGCCATGTTTATGCATCGAACATTTCAGGTTTCTACAGGTAATCCTTGACTTATGGCCACTACTGGGAACTTCCTTCACTAAGCAATGCAATTGTTCAGTGAGTCACTGAACAACTGTTTTACAATTTTTTTTTGCTGGGGTCATTAGACAAATCAATGCAGTCATTAAGTGAATATGGCTTCTCCCATTGACTTTTGACTATTAACTCTCTGGGAATATCATAAATGAAGATTATGTGATCCTGGGACACTGCAAGCCTTGTAAATACATGCTGGTTGCTAAGCACCTAAACGGCAACCTTACGATTATGAAGATACTATGATGGTCATAAGAATGAGAACCAGGTTGTAAGTCACTTTTTTCACCCTTGTCATAACTTTGAACTGTTTCTAAATGAATGATCCTAAGTTTTTATCTGTACTTTAATTTTGTCTTTGCAGCTTGGGTTTTTCTTTTTCTGCATGGCAGCATCAACAAGTAGACATCCAAAGGACTTTAGCCTAACCATGTCATAAAAATTCATATTCTGAAAGAATTTTTCTTCAGTAGTGTGCTGGGTGCCATCTGATTGCTGAGGCCTTTTATCTGGCACAATATCGTCAATCACTTTGTATATTGTTTATTCATATGATTTTCCTGATGAAATGCATTTCCTTTTCCTATGTTGTAAGAACTGATGCCATTGCCATTGTCACTGAAGTGATCACCTGTCCCAGCATCTCCCTATTTTGCTGCGGCCCAACATAGGTACC